AAATCCACAGACATTCCAGATTTGTGTTTGGCGACGTCAGGTTGTACGTCTCTCGCACACAGTTCTTCTATCGTGGCTGAGGACGGTTTCACACGGTGGGAAGCGGCTCTCAGGATTTACCGTTTTGCACTATGACGATACTAAGTTGACCGCAGGGAGCTTACAGAAGTTGTGCAACCTGACGTCGCCTTCAACAGAATCAGAGGAAGAGAACAACAGACAACCCATGCTGGGTTGATCGTGGCTGCATTCTACCTATCACCCTTATCTTAAAAAAGCGTGAACATAAGAAAAACAAAAAACAAATAAGCATGCTGTTATTACCTCTACTCAAAATTGATGATATCTCTAGTATACCCAAGTATATGATTCGAATCACATACTCATTCGAGGAGCTTTCCCTCTCGGTCCCTCTTTGGTGACCTCCTGCCTTTCGACCGCGACCCAGGTGGTGAATCAACAGAACCACCTCCCCCCGACATTGTCGCTCCTTCACCAGCGTCTTGGTTTTGATTTTCCGTGCTTCCAACCCCTGGCTGTGTGAATGATCCATGAGAGGTGGTGGTTGGCACTGACTGAGTGAAGGGCATGGATGATGGAAATGATCCGAACGGAACGGACTGGAAGATAGGAGGCGACGCAAGGTTTGCGAACAGGAGGGAGGCCAGGTTGGATGGTTCTGTTGTCGTGTGCATGTGAGACAAGTGAGGCATGTGCGACACTTGCTGCAGCGCTTCGGCGACTTCCTTGTCAAGCTGCTCCTGCGGAGTGGAGAACTGCACCCCTGGCAGAAGAGCAACTGATGCGGTTTCATAGCCCACTTGAGAGCCAGCAACTCCCGACGGCCCATCGTTCTGCGTGGGTGTAGACCACCAAGCCGCATCCTGGGTCACATCCACTTGATGGGACACGTCATGTGGGGTCCACGTCATCGCGTCGTTACTCACTTGTTCCGTGACATCGGGATGATCATCTGCCAGCAGAAGCGCTTCCAACGATGCGATGGTGTGCGCCGATGGCACTCGTGCCACCGGCATTGACCCATGATAACTCCAGGTCGGTGGGTTTTCGCTGCTGCCACTTGCAGTGATCGCAAGTTGCGGCTGAGCGTTCGCATTTCGTAGTTCCGTTGAGAAGAGTCCACTGTCAGGAGCGCTCCCTCCGTCACTGTCCATCCTCATCCAAATGTTACTAGCCTCCCCCGCACTTTTCGCTCCACTGATTCTCCCGTCGCCTCCGGAGAATGTACCCTCCTCGCTGTGCCTGCCGACGATGTCAGAGCTCGCGGTAGTCACCCGCGTCACGAATCTGCTACTACCATGCAGTAGATCCGCGTCATTGGGTCCCTCGCCTACAGGCGCCGCATTCATCCCATCACTCTCCTCGGCAGCGGTGACGTCATCCTCCGCAGATTCCGCATCCACACCGTCATCGAGGGAGTCCGAAGCGGGCCACGACTTGGCGGATGCGAGTTCCTGCGGGGACGAAGGCAAAGACATCGACTTGACGTGGTGCGATGATGTAAGTCCCTTCCTCAGGCCGCCCAGCTTGCTTCGCTTCGCCGCGTCGCCCTGAAACGGGATCGCGTCGCGTTTGTACAGGCGAATCACCACCCACGTCGACGTCCCCTGCTGTTGCTGCTGCAGTAGCTGTTGCTGCTGCTTCTGTCGCTGAGTCGCCTGGGGAGGAACCCCCGCTCGTCCCGACGCTGCTTTCCTACCGCCCTCACTTGACTTGCCACTAACGGCGCCACCATGTGAAGCTTCCTCAACGGTACTACCGATCAGCGAGTCCGGATCATCACTAGGCTCTACGAGGCGGTACTCGTGCATCACCCACGCCGTCTTCTCCCCCCGCGGCGCCCTCCCTCTGTAAAACACATGGCCCTTCTTATACCCGACAATGCGCCCGCTTTTGGCATCTTTAACCGCCTCGTGCTCCTCCCGGCCACCTTGGGATTCGTTTCCCTCCTTGCGCGAGGCGTACACGGGGCGGTCTTTCCCCGTGGCCTTCCAGTAGCCGGATGACGTCATCCGATTGGCGCGCGTGCCCATGAGGTACTTTCTGTCCCGCGACGCGAAGAAGAACCACTCATCGCTACCGTTAAGCGACACCATCGCCTTTCCTGGAAGTTCCCAGGGTTCGAATCCGTACATGTCAATGTCGCCGATCGCGTTCAGCGGGATGGGCTGGTTGCCGATTTTGCGGGGTAGGTAGAAGGAGAGGAGCTCCTCATCTGTGGGATGGAACCTGAATCCGGGAGGAAGCGAGCTCTCGCTGTCTTCATTTGCGGGCGCGCCGGCGAAGGACATTCCGACGTCAAGGCTCGTTAGAACGAGCAAGTATGCTCTGTCTGATTTTTGCTAATTCACGGCTTTTTGCTCAGCGGGTTCACGGAGGAGGCGGGCGATAAGGAACGTGAAGGGAGATGGCGGCTTGTGTTTCAGCCGGAACGGTTGAACTACGAAATTGCGATGCTTGGGTTATTTGTAGGATCTCGAAATTCTCGAGCCGCGCATTCTCCAGACAACGAGCCGCGCGATATGGCAAACGCGGTTTCCAACGCGGTTGTACAGTTCTTGATGCCGCGTACTAATGATTCGGGCAACACTGTCACCGTCAGAGATATTGCTGCGCCACCGAATTACTGTACAACAGGTCACGCGGTTGTCACACTACCACACAATGAAGCCTTCGCTAACCTCGTCATATTTCGTTTCTGGTGAATGTAACTTTGTCACAATGTACACGTAGGATCAAGATGCCAGCAAGGCAAGGAGAATCAAAATTGTACCAACATTCTTCACTTATGTTCAATTTCATAGCCATGAAGTGCAGAGAAGTGCCAATAACGAGTACAGTTGCCGCTGAACAAGCATCTGATGGGAAGGTGGCTGTTCCTCGCCGCTGAACAAGACATCTGACAGGAAGGGGGATGCGCTAGGTAAATCAGCCACCTGTGTCCGCGTTACTGTCAGGCCTTTTTCGTGCAACAGGCCACTCAAATAAGTTACATTCGAAACACAACTGAGCGACATTACGGCGCCTGGACTAATCTCGCCAATTCAGCCCTGCGATGATGTCCCTACGACGATGGTACGACAATAGAGCAGAGCAGCACCACCAGCTCCACCACCACCACCAACTAGTTTCAGTTCAGATGCACCTATTTTCTGCGCCAGCTTTGCTTCCGTGAATTGCGCTCCGATCTCGCATCTGCTGCCAGGAGCTATGCTGTACCAAAGATAATATTGCTGAGGCCAGCGGCTGCTATTCAAGCTGCGCCAATGCGTTCCCAATGCCTAGAGGTCTTTCTTCAAATGTCGGACCTTGGTCGAACCTACTGTAGCTCTCCTTCGACGTTTTACATGTTCATATATTGCTAAATCCGTTATTCCTTTCATACGCCGGCCTTTTTCGTTTTGTTTCCAAACGACCTAAAAATTTAGCACTCCGTGCACACGTCAGCACCATCGATGTCATCGTCATCATGGCATCGCGGCCATCAGAACCTTCTGCGAAGGCCGCTGCACGTGCGGTCCGCGACGCCCACGTCACTATCGGCGTTCAACTACGCGACCGCGCAGATAAGGCCGTGGCACATCCTGTGCGTGCTGGGCCTTGCGACGCAGCTCTACATCTTTCGCCAGTACGAGCTCGGTTGCAAGTGCCGCCACGAAGCGTACGCAGTTCAGTACGGTTCCAACGCCGCCGGCGCGCAGCAGGGCTCGTACGCCGGTTCGGTCGTTACATCTCAGCAGCGGTTCAATGACGCGAACGGATGGCGGGGTGATGGTAGTGAAGGTAGAGGAGGGGAGGTTCCGCGCCGCGGGCAGCTGGAGACTTCCTGGCAGCAGGGGCAGGAATCCAATTCGCAACAAAACTACGAGCAGCAGCAGCAGCGGCGAAACCAGCATCAGGAGGAGCAACAACAGCTCTTCCAACAGCAGCAGCATGAGGAGCGGAAGCAGCATCAGCAAGAGCAGGCTGGTCAGTTGACCAATCAAGGCGATCCACGTCAGCAGCAACGGAACGAGCACAAGCCATCTCAATTGGAGCCCCAGCCACGAAATTTCAACGGGTATGTGCAGAAAACACCCTGAATCTGAGTAAACAAAGACCTGGTCCCTGAATTTCGCGCTCTATATGAAGGCCTAGCCCCGCTTTGTGTGTTTCTGTTCGCCTCCCTCCTCCCTCCCTTCCGTCAGGTCTCCATCCATCCCTGGTTGCCCTACTCCCCCTCCCCTTTAAATCCACCTCCCTTTTGACTCCACCTCCTCAAGGGGTCTCACCTCCCGTTGTGTGTTGAGTCGACTCAAAACACGCCGCCCTGTTCCTCATCACCCAAACAGCATCAGGCGCATCACCCTTCTCCATCCCTCCTCCCATCCTCGCCCCTTCTCTCGCCTTCGCCCCCTTAACCCCCCCTCTCCCTTCGTCACACCCACTTCATGCCTCGTGCCTGTTATGAGGCGCCTCAAAATAGATTTGTCGCACCCACTTCATGCCCCGTGGCCTGTTGTTAGAATAACAAGCGAATCCCCTCTAAAACAATGCTTACAGCGTCTCAACAGGGCGCATGGTGGCATAGGGTCGCACATGGTCGCACATGGTCGCACATGGTGGCACATGGTGCAATGGTGGCACATGGTGGCACATGGTGCACATGGTGGCACCAGGTTGGCTCTTGTGCTGCTAGTATGGGTGGATGAATCTCTCAACTCAACCCCACCTCCTTGCAAACCGCATAAGCGGTTTAGGATGGACCTTAGAAGGGTACTTCCAGTGAAACGAAACCTGTCCTGTCCTGTCCTGTCCTGCTGCAGCAGAGATCATTCTAAGCTGCTCCTGGTGCAAGAATAGTTTCGACCGCAGCAAGCCTACGGATCTCACGTTCAGTTAAAAACTAAGACTATTGTACGTGTACTAGGGGTAACGTAGGTAGGTCAACCAGAAACATTGGGAAGAGTAGAACAACTGGCAATCTTTCTGTAGCAGAGATGATTCTAAGCTGCTCCTGGTGCAATGTGCTGCAGAGACTAGTCCCTGCTGCAACTGGTGCAACACGGCACGTTTGCAAGCCTGAGAAGCGAGCTCCACGTGTCTTCCCCTGCAGCACCGTTTTTCATCTTCCCTACTCCTCACTCACTCCTTACTGCCTGGCAAGGTGGGCGAGTCCCAGCTGCATCGGGAGCACCACGACATGTGTGGCAGCTGGAGGAGTGAGCTTTGCGTGCCTCTCTTGCAGCTCACTACAACTGAAACTCTTGTCACCATCCCCACTGCGCATCTTTTTTTCCCATGCCTATTGCCTGGCAGGGTGGACGAGTCCCAGCTGCAGCTGGCTGGTGCGGCATGGCACGTGCTATTTGGACAAGTGGTGTAGGATGGTAAAGAATCGCGGTGACTTTTGAGTCGACTCAAAAGTCACCTTGGTAAAGAATCGCTCAACATTTCGAAGGAAAAAAAGAAAGTGAAAATAGAATCACCTTGTTTTTGTCCAAATCCTCGTGGCTGGCAGGGTGGACGAATCCCAGCTGCATCTGCTGCGACATGACACGCGCAAGCTGGAGCAGCGGTGAAGGATCGTAAAAAAAGCACTCTGCATTCTCTGTCAACCTTTTCCCCGCCCATGTGCTCGTGCTGACTTTTGAGTCGACTCAAAAAGCACTCTGCATTCTCTGTCAACCTTTTCCCCGCCCATGTGCTCGTGCTGACTTTTGAGTCGACTCAAAAAGCACTCTGCATTCTCTGTCAACCTTTTCCCCGCCCATGTGCTCGTGCTGACTTTTGAGTCGACTCAAAAAGCACTCTGCATTCTCTGTCAACCTTTTCCCCGCCCATGTGCTCGTGGCTGGCAGGGTGGACGAGTTTCAGCTGCATCTGTTGCACCATGACACGTGCAAGCTGGAGAAGGCGTGTTTGACATGATTTGCCTGTAATACTGGAAACCCAAAACCTCTTGTTACCATCCGTACCACTCACTCACTGCCTGGCAGGGTGGATGAGTCGCAGCTGCACCTGGTGCGGCACGACACGTGCAAGCTGGAGAAGGTGGGGGGGCGAGGGGGGGACGACTACGGTGCGTGGAGCCTCTGCACCAATCACGTGCGGCCAGGTGGCGTCGTGTACTCGTTTGGCATCGGCGCTGACGTGTCGTTTGACAACGGGATGGTGAACCGCGGCCACAAGGTGCGTGCTTTTCTCGTAGCTTGTCTCTTATCTGTTGTTTTTTCATGGAATTTGGAATGGGGGGAGCGTGGGCAGTAAGTGCCTGTTTCGTAGCTTGTTACTAGATTTCATGGCCTGTACTGCACATACATTGGAGCAAATTCAAGGTTTATCTCCTGCTTTTCATTGTCGAGGTTGTTTGGTACTAGCCACGTGCACGTCATGATATTCATGGCGTAGAGCAGCCCTTTCTGCAGGCCATTCCATTCCATGAAATGTGCGGATGTAGGGGAGCGAGTGGCATGAAGATGGAGGGGTTGCAGGCACGGCATGGCATGGCATGCCATGGTATAGCAGAGTAGGGTTTTCCCGCCTCTTTTCCCCACCTTTTAAGTCTCTGTTCCCGAGTCTCTGCCCTGTATCCCACCTCTCTCCTCTCTCCAAGAATGCTCAAGCAATGTTCAGAAACCATCACCGCCAGGATTACCACTTTTATCTTTTTTTTTCTCTTCCTCTCTTTCCTCCTCTAAGTCTTGGGTGACAACCCCTCTGTGTACCGTGACTGCGTGCAAGCCATGTTCAGGCAACATTCTGTACAGGGAGTCAGGGACCAACACCACCACTGCCAGGATAGGCACTCCGCCTTCCAATGCACATCATCTCTCCTTTTCCTCATCCGCTTCCGCATCTCTCCTCCAGGACTTAGGAATTGACCCAATTATCCTCCCAGGGAGCGCGCGTGTAAGCCATGCTGACAGGGGACCACCAAAGCCGGGGGATTGGCAACTCTCCTTGTAAATCCCTTCTCGCTCCGTCCTCTTTCCCCTTTCTTTTCTCTCTTCACATTATCCCCCCCATCTCTCCTCCAGGTGTTCGGATTCGACCCCACAGTTCCCCCCGAGCGCGTGCAAGCCATGTTTAAGGTCCACCACAATTGAGAAAAGCTGGGGTTCACAGGCCATGTTCCAGTTTTATTCACACACCATGTGTCTCTCTTCCAATTCGCTCCCCATTTTTTTCTGCAGGTGTTCGGATTCGACCCCACTGTCCCCCCGGAGCGCGTGCAAGCCATGTTCAAGGACCACCACAATCGCGACCAGCCGGCCGCCTTCCAATTCCGTCAACTCGGCCTGGCCGGCACGGACGGCATCGTCACCTTCTTCCACTCCAAGAACCCGCGCGTGCAGTCCATGACGGCCGTCAAGCCGGAGAAACTTGCCGGCCGGTTCGAAAGCCAGGGGATGCCGGCGCCGGTGCTGCGATTGCCAACGTTCATGTGCGGGAACGGGCACGGATTCGTGGATGTGTTGAAAATGGACGTGGAGGGGGTGGAGTTTGACGTGTGCGACGCGTGGCTTCGCATGAAAACGCCGCTGCCGTTCGGGCAGATCTTGATTGAGTTTCACGATCGCATGGTGACGGATGCGAAGGCGCGCAAGGGCGCGTGCCTGCGCGCGTTGCAGCGAAACGGGTTTGTGGAGGTGTATGTGAGCGAGAACTTTCAAGAAGCCACGTACGCTCGCATGGCGCCTAAGGGATGAGGGTTCTGGAACTCGCGTGTGCACTTGTGTGGGAGGTATTTCCTAACCTCGAATTTTGAGACCACACAAGCCAAGTGCACGATTCATTTGGCTGAATTCCCAAGGCCAGAGGTTTGATTCGAGTACAGTACACTGAACTGAGCAATGTATGATAATGTATTATCTGCACCTTTCCTACTGCCCAGTATGGAAGTTTTTTTTTGTCTTGTTTAGTGCAGTTGTTTCACTCCCCCATGGCTTTGGGGACTAAGGTCAAGCAACCCAATTTAGAAACAAACAAAATCAACAATGTACACACATGAGCAGACAGACAGACTCACACACAGAAGACAGTTTTGCCTCAAATCCACAACCTCCCAGCCACCATTATAAAAATGGACACAACATCCCTGGAACACTTGTTAGAGCGTTTGCCGCCGCCTTGCCGCCAAGTCTCATGTACCTTGCATGCAGTCCACAATGCACATGGGGATATCCATGCTATGCTGCATGTTGCATGTTGCAAGCAGGATGATCATTGCCCAGCCCAGCATTACCACCCCCTCTCTTTCAAAACGCCAAACGTCTCGTCGCGAGCGTGACTGAAGTTGGTCCGCTTTGCTCTCCCTCTCCAAAACGAGCAAAGAGGCGGCGTGGCGTGTGAGATCAGATGATGAGCTGCACGGCCTGCACGACCAGGTAGAGCAGCGCGATGAAGAAGGCCGCCTGGTAGAGGTCCTTGTTGGGGTCGCCCTGCTGGATGAACTGCCATGGGGGGTGAGGGGTAGGGGGAAGGGGGGTGATGTATGAGGAATGGATAAGGGGAAAGAGGCACAGATGAAGAAGGCCGCCTGGTAGAGGTCCTTGTTGGGGTCGCCCTGCTGGATGAACTTCAGAGAGGGTCGAGGGGTGAGAGGGGGGCGGAGAGAGGGAGGAGGGAGGGGGGGGGGGGGGGTGTAATAGGAGTTGATAAGGGGAATAGACACAAGGCCGCCTGGTAGAGGTCCTTGTTGGGGTCGCCCTGCTGAATGAACTTCAGAGAGGGTGGAGGGGTTGAGGGGCGTGATAGGGGGAGTGAATCGTGATAGGGGGAGTGATAGGGGGATAAGAGGATTTGAAAGAGGCGCGGAGCAGATGAACAAGGCTGCCTGGTAAAGGTCCTGATGAGCCGCTCTGTTAGATGAACTGCAGAGGAGGTGGTGGGAGTGGTTCGGAAGAAGCAAGGCAAGCATGAGGTGAACTGCAATGGGGGCAGTGAGGATGGCGAGGGAAGCTAAGCTACGATAGTTGGGATGGCAGGAACGGGAGTAAGTCGAATGCGGCGACTGGTGCAAAATGTGAGACGCTACCAACACAGCATGCTGATGTGGTTTTGAGAGTTGAGAGGTCTCAAAAGCAGAACCGGCATGGTACAAGGGTGATGATGGGGTGGGTGGGGTTGAGGGGATGGTGGGGCGGAGGGGATGGTGGGGCGGAGGGGATGGTGGGGCGAGAGGAGTTCGGTGAGGTTAATGGAAATGGCAGAGATGGTTGGATTGGATGGGGGTGATGGGATGATGGGATGATGGGATGATGGGATGATGGGATGATGGGATGATGGGATGATGGGATGACGGGATGATGGGATGATGGGATGATGGGATGATGGGATGATGGGATGAAGGGATGATGGGATGAAGGGATGATGGGATGATGGGATGATGTGGGCGGTGGGATAATGGGATGCCAGTAAGGTGCAACCGCTGTTGCTTGGTGGATGTTTGTGTGGTTGAATTCTGAGAAATCTCAATTGCCTGACTGGTTACGTAAGAAAGACAGGGATCCGGGATGTGGATGCCTAGCGCATGCTGCTTTCCCCATTCCTCCTCAACTCCCCGCATCCCTTCCCCCCGATTTCCCCATCCCCCCCTCCTCCTCACTCCCTCACCCGGGCCAACAGCTATTGGTCCATCTCCCAGCCCTCCCTCGCCCTCGCACCTTCTCATCCCACACAGCCACACACACACACCACCACCACCTCACATTCGCGCGCACAAGCGCGCCTCGTAACCTACTCGTCTAGGGTCGCCCGACGGGTGCGGATAAATATAATTCGAGTCGCCACCTCCGCTCTTGCTCCCCTCCTCTGACTTCTCCGTCACGTCTTTAATCGCCTCCGATGTGGACCACGCGAGGCGCGACGCCCAGAACGCCAGCTGGATGGGCAGCGCTGAGCTGGCGACGTCCCATTGGTCGCGGTGGTTGATGACCTGGCCGCTGATCTGGTTGAGCGTGAACGTTGACGTCACTCGCGCGTCCAGTAAGCCGCCCGGGATGACGAGGTACCCGCGCAGCTGCCAGGTAATCACGAGGACACTCGTTGACTCCATTGACATTCCCAGCATGTGCTGCGATGGGGGAGGTCGGGGATGGGGGTGGGGGTGGAGAGGGGGGAGGGGGGCGCAATGGGGGGAGATCAAACAGTGTGCGCTAGTAGATTCCATTGACATTCCCAGCATGTCCTGAGACGGGGGAGGTAGGGGATGGGCGGGGGAAAGGGGGGGAGGAAGGGGGGAGCCCGCGGGGGGGAAGTCCAGAGGGGTGTGCTCGGGGACTCCATTGGCAGTCCCATTCCCAGCATGTGCTGGAAGGGAGCGGGTGTGAGTAAAACGGGGGTTGGGGGGGGGGGGGGGGAAGGGGAAGGGGCGGGCGGGGAAAGGGGGAGGGGGTGGAGGGGAGAGGAGGGGGGGGGGGGGGGGGGGGGGTGGAGGGATGGGGGAGAAAGGATGAAAGCGAGAACGGGATGGTCGAGTTGTGACCTGCTTTGCCGTTACGAATCGCAATGAACGACCCTCAAGTGAGACCCTAGTGCTGCTAGCCTGGTTGTTATTCCCGTGTTTTGAGACGTCCCAAGACTAGGCTATTCGCTTCCAAAAACGAGACTTCGCACACGTCGCGTCCCCAAGCCTAGTGACTAATTGACTAGGTCATTAGGTCATTAAGTGTCTAGCTTATTCTTGGGCATCATGTCACATGGCAGCGCCACATAAGCCGGAATAAGATTACTACGGAAGAGGCAAGAGATGAGAATACGAAGCGCGCCGCTGCCGAGCATGCTATGCTCACCACTGAGGAGTTCTGAAGTGCGCTGCGGATCCACGAAAGGCGGCGGTATTTATCGCGACCCGTGAAGGACCGAATCGAGTCCTGTGAGAACAACGACGGGAACAGATACGAAGAGCAGGAAACATGGGACTTCAAGATTCGTACACGTGATTGGAGAAGCCTCAAGCCGTGCCAGGGGGGTGGGGGATAGAACGTGGGGGAGTGATGAGTTGAGGGCGTTGAGGGAGTGATGATGAGTAGTTATAACGCGGGGAAATCCGTCGATGCTAACCTGAAAATGTGTTCACAGACGAGGATCATCTCAAACTGTTCTTCATCATTCGATATCAAACTAGCAGTGCGACATTCTCGCCGCTCCTAGACCTCATCTCGGCGTGCGACTCGTGTGTCTTTTTCTTAACACGCTAGCTGTACAGTAGTATTGAAACGTGTGCAGGGTTCGCCTTACCGAGTATTTAGAGTCGATGGCGAAACACGACAGCGTCCTCTTGTCTTCGCGCATGTCGTGAATGTCTCTCGCCAACTGTTTCGCCGTTCGCTCAACGGCGGGGCTGCTCACGCACTCGAAGTCGTCGCACAATTCCGCGAAAGTCATCCCTCGCACCAACGTCGCCACCTCCTCGTCCTCGTCACTCTCCTCCCCGCTCCCGCCGCCGCCGCCGCCGCTGGCGTCCACTGCGTCTTTCGTCGCCACGTGGCGTCTGGTGATTGGTCTTTTCGGCGCGTGGCAGATGCTGCGAGGGGGGAGAGGGACGGAGAGCGGGGAGGCATGGCGGTGCGACAGCGCGGAAGCTTCGCAGAAAGGTGCTCTGCTACTGTCCGAATGGTGGATGGCGGCAGAGATGCAAAGGCGCGGGGCCAAACCCGGAACTGCGCCGAGATTAGGCGACACTAACGAAGGCGCTCGTATCGGGGATAACACTAGCGACGACAATGAGGTCGGAGAGGAAACCCGAAGCGTGTCCATGGCCCCCTGCCCTTCAACCACAGCTTCTCACGGACTATATCAGCGGTGGCTACGCGGACTAGTCCAAATTAGGTAATGAAGAAAAGGAGATGACGGGAGAATAGGCACCAGAGAATAAGAGACTCGTTCTTGGCAGACACAAGTGACTCGTTATGGGATGAGACGACGAGCCGACATAACGTTGGTTGGTCGGTCGTTCAGCATGAGCAGGCAAGTAAGCGAAAGCAGAACATACCTTGTAACATTGCGGTTGAATACGATGAGAAGCGTTACGATGAATACTGATACGTTTTTCACGCGTTACGCTACGGTGTTTTTAGCACTTGTTCTTCCCATTCTATCACGTGCGATCGGCGATGGCTGGGGAAGCTGCTTGTGCTGCTTCTGAAATGGCGCTCTGCTACTCGTCGTCGTGCGTCAACCCCGTCGTTAGAGGCAAGTCACTGAGCTCTCTGGAACATCAGTGATCCACGTGCTCGTGATTGCGTGGCAGCCGCGGTAAGACGCTGACTGGATTGCCATGTCATTTGGATCGAAAGGTCTTCGTGGAGTGAAGTTGCAACGGACGGTGATCGAAGCGGATGGGGACGTGTATCAAAAGCAGCAAGACGTGGAGAGCAAACAGGCAATTCTCAACCACCAGAACCAGAATGCTGCTACAGTAGCAAGCCTGTCAAGTTCACGAGAAAAATAAAATGTTCTCATTGTGATTCAGAGCAAGCATACACACGAAACTTGAATAAAACCAGCTAATGCATCCAGTGTACTAAAGCGTACAATGCCTGGACAAAACACACGTATTCCAATTCTGCCAGAGCAGATTCACCACAAAATGGCTTCAGTTTCGCTAGCCTCCAGCTTCACAGCTTCTTCCGTCATTTGCGGAGAGCTTTACAGCCTCCATCCGGCAGTTTCGCCGCCAACCGCTTTGTCCTCCGCAAGATCGTCTTCGGGCTACCATGTAGTTACCGCATTTGCCGGTCGTCCGTCGCAAAGTTCGTCAACGTCGCAAGGCGGCAACCCTTTCGCCGACCTGAAGCGAAGCTTTCCGCTTGGCAGCAATGCGGCAGAACCATTCGACGGTCGCGATGGTAGCGATTCAGATATTGGCGGTTCGGTGCAGACTACAGGGAACGCCGATGATTTTGTGATTATTCGCAAGAGTGATTCTAGCGGAAGAACAGACAGAGAATCACGAACCACTGGTGGCGGAAGCGCTAAGCGAGGAAGCGCGCCTAGCCGAAGCTCACCTTCCGGAAAAAACGGAAGCCAGCAAGGAGGAAAGGCCGCGGCGTCGGCGAAGGGCGGCGGGGTAACGGTGCAGGCGACGCGCCGCGGACGTGGCGGGAAAACGGTGACGGTGGTGGAGGGGCTGCGATTGGCTGGCGGCGATGCTGAGGTGGCAGCGCTGCTGAAGAAGCTGAAAGTGGCGCTCGGGAGTGGTGGAGCCGTGAAAGACGGATGCATCGAACTGCAGGAGAGGGGGGGAGTGAGGAATGGAGGGAATATTTTTTGGGGAGGGTATGAGGGAGAGAGAGGGGGAGGGAGTGAGGAATGGAGGGAAGGGTTAGGGGAGGGTATGCGGGAGAGAGAGGGGGAGGGAGTGGCAGGGCTGTGAAGTACGGGTGTCTTGAACTGCAGGTGAGGGAGCGAGTGGAGGGGCAGTGAGGGAGGAGTGAGGGAGGAGTGAGGGAGTGAGTGATGAAGGGAATGTGGGGCTGCCGGTCAGGGCAGCCATAGAGAGCAACTGGTTGCGATCTCTCTTGTTCTTGGCACCGTGCACGCTACCGCTACGGTAAACAAGAGTGGGCAAATTAAGGAGTTCTGAGAGTAATCAGAGTGTGCTAACAGGATGCAGCCCAAGAACAGCTTTAGGAAAATCTTAAGGAGAGAACCGTGAGTTGGAGTCCAAGAAAGCTTGAGTACTACTACTGCCTTGTGAGAAGTCCTTTTTTATTATTATCTTGTCTTTGTTGTGTCCTTAGAGCTAGGAGTTTCCCTGAATAGCACAAAACCGTTGATTCTTTGACACCCCCTTACCTGCCTTGTTAAATCTTGTGGTGGTATGAAGAGGATAACACTTTTGGAAAACGACTCAAGTATTTTCAGCATGAATTTATCGTGACCAGATCATAAGTTGACGGTCAGAGTTCGAATCTCGCTGGCGATGATATGATTTCTCCAACGGAGTGGATGATCCACAACCCGTTATCCACCGAAGAGTTAGTCCCTGGCGGGCATGTCAGGCTGACGAGGAACGGAGACCAATATGAGCCACCACCTTTTGCTTGTTACCCTGCCATTCATTATCCTTTGCCCCCTAGTCTGTCCCCCACTCCGCCTACACTCCACTTTGTAAGAAGATACTTATGCATTGTGCCGTGTCTCCCTCATCCTCACCTGTAAGCACCTTCGCCTCTTCCCCTTCTCACCCTTCCCTTTTATGCCTTCCACTCATCCTCCCATCCCCACTATTGGCTCCCCCAAACTCTCCCCAAAATCCCATCCCTAACTCTTGGCTGCTCTCCACTCTTCCCCGTCCTGAGCTCCCCCTCACAGACCTCCCCCCCTCCCACTGAGCTTTTCCCCCTCCCACTGAGCTTTCCCCCTCCCACTGAGCTTTCCCCCACCCCACTGAGCTTCCTTCCCCCCCCAATGAGCTTCTCTTTCCCACACTCACTGAGCTTGCCACCCCCCACTGAGCTTGCCTTGCCCCCTTCCTCTTGCATCCCCCACACTGGGGTGGAGTATGAATGGTACCATATCGGCTTCTGTGCGCATGCATGCATGCATCCACAGTCCACTGCCTGCGCAGGCATCTCTTGAGCCACCCAATCAAGGGTCATGGTGCATGGCGTATGTTGCATGGTGCATAGCTCGTGGCGACAAAAAATGGCTGGCCCCTTCGTTCATATATTTTGTTTTCTTCCTTTTGTGTTTCGTTGGTTTACATTCTTTGCATTCAAAACTCTCCACTAACAATGTGCTAAACACGGAGTGGAGTGCAAAATGCTGTTTCTAGTTCGCCCTTCACTTATATGTTTTTTATTATAACTTCACATGGCCTGATCATGTGTTGACCGTCAGAGTTCGAATCTCGCTGGCGATGGAATGAATTCTCCAACGGAGTGGATGATCCACAACCCGTTATCCACCGAAGAGTTAGTCCCTGGCGGGCATGTCAGGCTGACGAGGAACGGAGACCAATATGAGCCACCACATTTTGCTTGTCTGACCTGGCACTCGTTATTTTCTGCTTACCCCTCCTTCCATCCCCCTCTCGCCCTAAGCTCCCCTTTTTAAGGAGATTCTTTTGCATTGTGCAGTCTCTCCCTCATCCTCACCTGTAAGCACCATCATCACCTCCTGTCTCACCCCTGTATGCCCCACTCATCCTCCCATCCCTGCTATACCCTCCCCCACACGCTCCCCTTAACTCCTCTCTCCCTCAATCTCCTCTCCCTCTCCGCCACTCTCCTCGCTTCCCCCACCCCACTGAGCTTCCTCGCTCCCACTCAGCTTCCTCGCTCCCACTCAGCTTCCTCGCTCCCACTCAGCTTCCTCGCTCCCACTAAACTTTCCCCCCCCCAACCCACTGAGCGTCCCCCCCCAACCCACTGAGCGTCCCCCCCCAACCCACTGAGCTTCCCCCCCCAAACCACTGAGCTTCTCCCCCCAACCCACTGAGCTTCTCCCCCCAACCCACTGAGCTTCTCCCCCCAACCCACTAAGCTTCTCCCCCCATTGGGCTTCCCCCACCCCACCGAGCTTCCTCCCTCCCACTGAGGTCACCCCCTGCCCCACTGAGCTTCCCCCCCACCCTCAGCTTGCTACGCCCCGCCCCTTGCAACCGCAAAGTGGACTGGAGTACGAGTGGGACCATATCGGCTTCTGCAGGTGACGAGTCGACTCAGAAATTGACTCAGCTTGCTACCCCCCACTCAGCTTGCTACCCCCCACTCAGCTTGCTACCCCCCACTCAGCTTGCTACCCCCCACTCAGCTTGCTAACTCCCGCCCCTTGCAACCGCAAAGTGGACTGCAGTACAAGTGCCATTGTAACGAGGTGACTTTTGAGTCGACTCAAAAGTCCCTTGCAACCGCAAAGTGGACTGCAGTACGAGTGGGACCATATCGGCTTCTGCACGCGCATGCAGCATGCATACATGGACAGTCATCCCTTGAGCCACCCAACCGTCGCATGGGTCATAGTGCATGGGTCATAGGGCATGGCGTATGGCGTATGGCGTATGGCTTATGGCGTATGGCGTATGGCGTATGGCATATGGCGTATGGCGTATGGCGTATGCCTCATGCCTCATGCCCCATGCCCCATGCCTCATGCCTCATGTCTCATGCCTCATGCCCCATGCCTCATGCCTCATGCCCCATGCCTCATGCCTCATGCCTCATGCCCCATGCCTCATGCCTCATGCCCCATGCCTCATGCCTCATGCCTCATGCCCCATGCCTCATGCCTCATGCCTCATGCCTCATGCCTCATGCCTCATGCGTCATGCCTCATGCCTCATGCCCCATGCCTCATGCCCCATGCCCCATGCCCCATGCCTCATGCCTCATGCCTCATGCCCCATGCCTCATGCCCCATGCCTCATGCCTCATGCCTCATGCCTCATGCCCCATGCCCCATGCCTCATGCCCCATGCCTCATGCCTCATGCCTCATGCCTCATGCCTCATGCCTCATGCCTCATGCCCCATGCCCCATGCCTCATGCCCCATGCCTCATGCCTCATGCCTCATGCCCCATGCCTCATGCCCCATGCCCCATGCCTCATGCCTCATGCCTCATGCCTCATGCCTCATGCCCCATGCCTCATGCCTCATGCCCCATGCCTCATGCCTCATGCCTCATGCCTCATGCCCCATGCCTCATGCCCCATGCCTCATGCCCCATGCCTCATGCCTCATGCCTCATGCCTCATGCCTCATGCCCCATGCCTCATGCCTCATGCCCCATGCCCCATGCCTCATGCCCCAT